GTATGACAGTTGTGTTTTAGCACTTGATTGTGCTCCTTTGGAACTTATACCTGGACCAGGAGGCTGTTTTGTGAATGGAGCAGGGCAGCACTGCATGGTTTGGAATTGGGAAGGGACTGTGTCAATGTTGTAGTCACTCTCCATACCTATCTAAACTGTATGCTGAGCAAATTATCTGAGAAGATGGACTCTATCAGGAGGAGTGTGGCATCAGGATTGGAGGGAGACTCATCAATAAAACCTGCATTATGCAGCTGACACAAATTTGCTTGCTGAATGTGAGGAGGACCTGAAGTACTTGGTGCAGAAAGTCAAGGAATGCGGCCTGCCTTATAGATTGCATCTCAGTATCAAGAAAACAAAGATTCTTACCACTGGACCAGTAGGCAGCATCATAATGGATGGAGAGGATATTGAAACTGTCAGGAACTTCCATTTTGCATGGATCCACAATTAACACCCTTGGTGCTACCAGCAGTCTGGAAATAAGGAGATGCATTGCACTGAGAAAATCTTGAGTTAGGAACCTCTCCAAATTATTGAGGTGTAGTGATGTCAGTTTGTGGGCTAAGGTGAATCTATTCAGGCCATAGTCTTTTCAATTACTTTCTTTACACCTGAGAGTTAGATAGTGAATAAGGATGACAGAAAAGGAATTGACAACTTTGAGCTGTGGTGTTTTAGAAGAGTGCTGAACATCCCATGCTCGGCCAAGAGAACAAACATATGTCTTGGAGAGGGTGCAGCTGGAGTGCTCATTGGAGGCAAGAATGATGAGGCTTTGCCTCACATACTTTGGGCATGTTGTTAGGAGTTGCTGTTCCTTTGAGAGGGACATGATGTTGGGAAAGGTGGAGGGTCCGCAAAGGAGAGGAAGACCCTCAACCAAGTAGATTAACACAGTGACTGCTGCAGTGGGTGCTTGTGTGTCAAGAAGTATGAGGACGGCACAGGATAGAACAAAGTTCAGATGTTTTTCTTTTTCATAGAGTCTCTATAAGTTGTACTCGACTTGACAACACCTAACACCTAACTATTAAAGAGTCAGGAGAGGAAGACCCTGAATGAGATGGATTGCTGCATAACTGGGGTAATGGGGGTAGGGTGTCAGAGTCAAGGAGATTGGCTCAGGGTAGAGCAGGGCTCAGAGCTATTGTGCATAGAGTCACTATGAGTTGTAGTTAGTTGACTTGACATCACATAACAAGTGTTATTATGTAGTAGTATAAGGCTGCTAAATGAAAGGTTGGCAGTTCAGATCCACCAGCTCCTTTGAGAGAGAAAGAATGATTCACAGCCTCAGATGTGAATTCAAGATCCTCCTGATGGAGGGTCCTAGGACTAGAATTGATTAAATGGTAGTGGGTTTGGTCTTTTTAGTTTGTACTATTATTGCAGAAGACGCCAAGATCAACACTAGGGATTGGTCAGGGAAGGGTTTACATAGAAGGGACGATTTTGAATGGTTTTGTAGAAGAAAAAGAATTTGGATAGATGGACCAAAAGGGGTTTTATAAATTGGGAGGATGGCCTAAGAAATAAAGCGAGAAAGACTGCTCAGAAGTTGGAAGTAACAGGGAAACTGTTTGGAGTTGGAAAATGACGAAAATGATAAGATTAAGAATACAAGTAGCCTGAATGGGGCTCTTCTTATTTGGCCACTTCAGGGTGACTCTCTGATGGTCTTCTGATCCCACTGCTGTGCTACCTTTCTTCTTTCCTCCCACCCCATCCCTTTGCCTTGTTTAAAAATGCAGTTAAGAGGGAGCTCTGGTGGCTTAGTGGCAAGAAGCCACACTGCAGTCCCGAGTGTGTGCTGTTTGAATCCACCAGATGTTCCACGGGAGAAGGAGGGGCAATCCCCTACTGTGCCAGTTAGATCCAATTTGATGGTACACAACAAGGGGGGGAAAAGCATTTGTAAAATTCCTTTCCCGGAATCATTGGCCAAATTTTTCCAAAGAAAGTATTTGAGTTTGTTGCGTAGTACAAACTGGTTAAGTGCTTGACAGCAAAACCAAAGGTTGATGCATCAGATCCACCTTGGGGGACATTTAAAGACGGATCGGTAATGTAAAAAACCACATCAAATGCTGCACACAGGTTCTCCATTAAACCAAATGTACTTGACAGCAACTGTTTTAGTTTGATTTTAAAATTGCCTGGAATTTCAAAAGTGAATTAGTTCAATCAAGGATCTCCAAGTAGTAGGCTGGTGGAAAGAATTTAAATGGAACAGTTTAAAAGAAAAGAGACATTGTCATTGCCTTAATCTCTTCACCTTCTACTCTTCAGCCTTGTAGTTTCTCTTTGTGTGTTCCTAGTGATTATTTCTGCTCTCAGAAAGATTCTTACACTATTTAATGATATAAATTTGTTATACTGCAGTGTACATCGTGTATTATATTAGAAAAATCATGTATAACACATATGTTAAAAAATTAGTCTATGATCACACTATCACCCTATGAAGGGAGAGTGTTTAACAGGAGTAACTTTAGAAAGTATGACTTAATGCATGTTGCAACTTTGACATTGTTTTAGTTCTGTTTTTCAGTTAGGGGTCTCTGGTGGCCTAGTTTGTAGGAAGCTGTGCTCCAAACCCAGAGGTTGTACCCTGGCAATTTGAACCCACCAGTGGCTTTCTAGAGAAAGATGGGCAGTCTCCCAGGGGATTTACAGTTTCGGACCCCAGTGGAGGATCAGCCATAGTTGCTTCTGACTTGAAGGTAGTGAGATTTTTCATGTTTTTGTTTATATAAAATAACTTAAAAAAGCATTTGCATTCTATTTTTGTCTGTTCTTAAAAGAAATATATTTTAAATTTACAGAAAGATGTTTTGGGGCTCATGTATCATGAGTGACAAATATTATATCTTAGTAGACCTACAAATACTGTTTTAATAGACCTTCTCAGCAGGATTAATGGCAAAGTCCCTTTGAATAGACCTGTCTTTCAATGCTCTAATCTTATCTGGATGCACTTTGTTACCCCCTTTCTAATTTTTCTAAAAAAATAATACTGCCATTTTTTCACCTATGTAAAAATTCTTTTACTAAGTTGCTGAAAAACTGAAGCTCACTATCTATGACCTCATCATATTTACTAATGTTGTGTACATTATAGCATATGGAGAGCCTCCCTTGTAAGTAGAAATGATGAGCAGATTTCAGTGCTAATAAAACTCAGGTCAGGTGTTAGTGGCTAATTTAGAGCATTGTCTTGGGAATTATGAGACTATACCTATGTTACAACAACAACCTTTATTAATCAGAAAAGAATACAGTGATTGATTAATGCTATGTGCTCATGCCTCATTAATTGGAAAAGTGGTGGCCTACAAATAATTGTCAACCCAAAGAATAAAAAGAATAGTTATGAATGGATGGAAAGGTTACATTTGCATTAAACTTTTTGATTAGTTTCTTCACATACGAAAATTATCTGGTTGATTTTTCTGAACAGTTTATTTTTTTTAATACTGTTATTCATCCGTATCCATCTCTGTCAAAGCAGTATTAATCTTTCCTTTCTTGTTACCTCTATAGTCTTTCATTATGTAACACTTATTTTTTAATTGTTGTTTACTTGCCTTACTGCGCTTCTTAAAGGGAAGAACAGTATCTTTTTCAGGATATTCTTTTCCCCCATCAGTATATTAATACCCAATACTGTGTCTGCTACTCCATGTTTCTTATGTATTAAAAGAATGAAATAGTTTTTATTTTCTTGATAACTGGGTGATGCCTTATGTGAACATTGGGACTTTTATTATGTTTGAAGATGACATGATTGAATTGAAGTCTTAGGGTGGTATGAATCAAAAGGAAGCAGCAGATGCTTTGGATAAGGGTAGATGGATCAGTGTTTAGTTCTCTGGAATGCAGGGGAGGGTTTGACTCTGAGAAAATGGTAGTACCGTTAGAAAAGCAGAGGTGATTCAGGGGATTAATTTAATTTTGGAGATGTTGCATTTTGAATGAAAATATTAATTAATTGAATATGAAGCACCGGAAGGAAGGTTTAGTAGAGTATCTTTCTCTGTTATTAGGCTCCATAGAGCCCTTCCTTATGTAATTTCATTTTCAGTGTTTGAAATCTTTTCCTGCAGAAATGATCCTGTAATAGGGCAGGGAACATGTTCATCTTGTTTGAAGCTGGATCCTCATTCACAGAAACAGTTGTTGGCTGATGTTAGGCACTTAGTTCAATAAATGAACCGACTTCTGTGCTCTTGGTTAACTTAAAGTCTTATTATATTGTCTTTATTTTGCTAATAAGAATAACTTGCGGGCTCATAGAAATGTTAAACTGAATTTTAAAATCTTTGGCACTCCATTTAGACCTTATAAAGGTAAAGGCACTTAGTTAAAGCCATTGGATCAGACTCCAGATTTAGCTGTTCACACATGAGCAGAACCATAATTGCTTATTAAATATGTGTGTGATATATGGCTTTCAGGCTAATGAAGTAGAAGATAGAATATTGGTTTTTATTTACTGGAGCTTTTCATAATTGCTTTTTCTCTATTTCTCATTCAGTTATTTCTCTCCTGTATGGTATAGTACTTTGATCAATGTTCTTCTTATAATTTTAATCTTAGATGGCAACAATGGCTTCATGGAGTTTCTGATAGTTAAATGAGCTCTGGATAACTACTCATTTTGCTTCCTCTTATCCATTTTTGCATGAGGAAGGAAGTATAGGTTTACCATTATTTGATAGTACCTGTAAACATTCTCTTACATACATATTGGACTTGCTTAAATAGTATCGCTAAAAAACTTTTATCAGTTTGGGGAAGCTGAATTTCCTGAGGATACAATCATAGATTACAATTTTAAAATTCCATTTAATTTTTAATGTGTGGACATTAATCACCAGATTAAAGTGAGCTTCCAGTATTTTGTTTGGTACCTTCTTGAATAGAGATAATATAAACACTTTTGCTTAGGATAGATAACTATTTCCTTTCTTTTTTTCTTTTTTCCAGTATCAAGATAAAGAGGAAGTTGTCTTATGGATGAATACTGTTGGGCCCTACCATAATCGACAAGAGACTTACAAATACTTTTCACTTCCATTCTGTGTGGGATCAAAAAAAAGTATTAGTCATTACCATGAAACTCTTGGAGAAGCACTTCAAGGAGTTGAATTGGAGTTTAGTGGTCTGGATATTAAATTCAAAGGTAAGTAAACCTTAGTCCTTATAATGAAATAGGTTCAACATCAACATTATTGATACCTGGGGCTAGGTCATTCTTATTTGTGGGGGCCTGCCTATTGCAGAAAGTGCACAGGAGCATTTCTGTACTCTAACCATTGGACTCATCCCCTCCCGAGGTGTGACCACTAACAATGTCTCCAGACATAGCCAATTTCTCTTTACTGTTCTGAATTTGGGAAAAAGGTTTTAGTTTGTGAGTTAAATGTGTTGCATTCAGATAAATAGTAGCTATCAGTAGTTTACTTTGAATATTTTTTAGGATAGCAAACTTTTCATAAAATTGGCTTAATAGTAAAAAAATTACACTACCAACCCTAAAGAATGTGGATCAAACCCACGAGTTCCTCCACGGGAGAAGGATGGACAAGTTCCTCCTTTGCAGTTAACTGCCTCTCAAAACCTGATGGAGGGTCATTTTGGATTGGTTCTGACTCAGTGGTACGCACCAAAAATCTTTTTTCAAGTAGCTCTGATCGCCAAGTGGTAAGGAGCTGTATACTGCCAAGCCAAAGGCATGGCGTCCTAATTCATCATCTACCCCCTGGGAGAAGGCTATGGATTCTCCTCCCATGTAATACACAGCCTTTGGAAGTGCCCTATAGGGTCAGCTATGAGTTGGTTCCAATTTGACAGTATATGCAAACACCACAGAAATTCACTTCTTTCTGAACAGTGCTTTTAGTAAACTCTCTTGTACTTTGGTCATATGTGGGTAGGTAAGGTCTACATATATTCAAAGTGAATTTATTCTGGAGGTACATAGCTGTAATGGATATATGGATACTTAAAAATGTTGTGAAATGCCTCAAGTTTAAACTTGTATCATTAGCTCAGCATGTGTATTTATCAGTGTATTAATTTGCCACCTTAATACTTGTAGCGTGATGTGGTTTTAAATTTAAGTCATAGATTTATCAAACTCTGGGGGGGGGAATCTGCTTATCTATTTAATATACAGATACCTATTTTTCCTCTTTGAATTTTGTCAGTGGGTATTGTTTAACCTAGTGAGCAGAAACTTGAATAATTGAATTTCTGCAGTATCTTTGATTAGGTGTCTTGATTTTGAATAGAACATAGATCTTATAATCAGGAGCTTTGATTTTAATACTTTTTTCTTTTACCATATTGAGTCAGTAAAATTATTTACTGTAATTTTTATTTCATTGTTTCCATATAGGTAAAAGGAATAGTCACGTCAGATATTTTTAGCAGATTGGGGAAAGGAAATGTGAAACAAAATATTAAAAATTAATGTCACTTGAACTTTAGTTAAATGATATCCTTCTTGTAAGAATTTTTGTTGTTTATAAAAATGAAAAAACAAAACAAACCAACCCTCACTGCCATTGAGTCAAAACTGACCCCCTCAGTGGATTTTCAGAGACTGTAAATCACTCAGGGGAAGATTGCCCATCTTCCGTGGAGCAGCTGGTGCATTCGAACTGCCTGCCTGTGGGCTGACTGCACAACTCATTACCCAGTAGGCCACCAGAGCTTCTTTTGCTGAAAATAGGTATAAATATTTGTGATTTCCTCCCCCTCCAAAATATTATTTGGAAGATTAAACCAGGCTGCCCCTTGGAGGCAAGGATTCTGGGGCTTCGTCTGACATACTTTGGACATGTTGTAAGGAGAGACAGGTCTTTAGAGAGGGACATCATGCTGGGTAGAGTAGAGGGACAGCACAGGAGGGGCAGACCCTCTATGAGGTGGATTGATTCAGTGACTGGGGTACTCGGGATGGGTGTGTCAGAGGCAATGAGATAGGCACAGGATAGAGCACAGTTTAGGGCTGTTGTACATAGGGTCGCTATGAGTCACAAACGACTCGACGGCACATAACAACAACAACAATTATAAATTGTGACTTTAAACCACTGAGACATGGCTATAGTTTTATGAACCATTGTAATTAGGTCCTGAGATTTGTTTCACTTTAAACAGGGAATTTAAAAATTTATTCACAAGGGAGACTTAAGACTAAAATATGTGATCTTTGAGAATTTCAGCACTCCTTTTATTCACTTAATTTTGTCATTTCCATATTTGGTCAACAGCTTTTTTAAAAAGAAGAGCTGTAAAGGAAGGGTAAACAAAAGCCCCTGAGTCCTACTGTGGACAGCTGTCATCAGATTTTTACTTCCTCCTTTCTACACCTCAGTTCTAGAGGCTGAGATGTCTGAGACTGAATAGAGGGTGATAACTACACCATCAGAGCACCTTGTCCCCAGCACAGATGCTGCAAAATGACTTCGTTCAGAGGACATTAGTTAAATACAGTTAGGTTTGTCTTTTCTAGTGTAGTCCTTTAAGACATTCAGTTACTAACCAAAAAATCATTGATTTGAACCCACCAATTGCTCTGTGAGAGAAAGATGGTGCAGTCTGCTCTGGTGAAAGATTTCTAGCCTCAGAAACTCCTCTCAGAGTCGAGTTTTACTTTGTCTGTTGGACAGGCTTGTTAGGAGGCAGAATTGTCTCTGGCCATGGGTAATGGTCCTTGTACTCTTTTGCAACCTTTGTTAAAAAATAAAATAGATCCTACTTTGAAAAGAGTGTTTTAGGAGGTTTCTAGTTGCTACATACAGTGTCTTAGAATTTTAAAGGTAAATTGCACTTTCAGATTTTTCACTTAATTTCTACTCACAAAGCCCAGAGATGAAGTGGAATGAAACATTGCCAGGTTTTGTATCATCCTCATGATTGCTTAAGAATCAGACTGTTGTGAACGTAGGGTTTGTGTTAGCTTATATTTTGGAAGTAGATCACCAGAGCTTTCTTCCCAGTCATAGTCTAGAAGCTCTGCTAAAACCTGTTAAGCATTATAACAACACGCAAGGCTCCACTGGTGGTGGTGGCTGCGCATGAAGTGTATCGACTGGGAACTCAGGTCTCCTGAGGGGAAGGTGAGAATTTCACGACTGAACCATCACTCTCCCCTGTAAGACATGTTGTGGTTAGGTGCCATTGACTCATTGCAAACCAGTGAACAGCAGATCCAAACCTTGCCCTGGCCTACATCATCTTCACCATGTCTGACATGCTTGAGACCTTTGTACAGCCACTGTGCCAGTCTGTCTTGTTGAGGGGCTTCCTCTCTTTGTCTAACCCTTTATTAGGAGAGAAGTCTTCTCCCTTTGTTAATAGAGGGCTATTATAGTATTACAGACTATTAAGACATAGTAGTCTTAACAGGAAAAGACTATTAAGACCTAGAACTCTCCTAATAATAAATTGTCTACCACCCAGGCCATTTAGAAGCTCTAATGGTGTAATCCACTGGGAGTTGAGTTGGTAACCCAGAGATGGTATGCCTCAGGTGATTCAAATCCACCAGTGGCCCGTCAGGAGAAAGATGGGCAGTCTCCTCCCATGTGTTTTACAGCTTTTGAAAATGTCAGTCAGCTGTCAGTCGATTGCATCTTGGCAATGAGAGAGGGATTTGGCCCATTTGTATGATCATGTTCTCATAGTAATTAATTAACCCATCATGATCATTAGATGAACTGGAATAGTGACTCTAGACCAGGGAGATACCACTTACCCTCCATTCTCTCCATTTGAGAATTCTTGCAGTATAGTACAGCTTGTTAACTCAAAGTCATTGCCATCAAATTAGAACTGACTCATATCTGGCCATGTAGCAGAATTTGGTGACTATAAGTCACATTTCTTCTCACAGAGCCCAACCTCCCAGATAATCTGTTCTGCATATAGATTGAAAAGGTATGGAGATAGGACACATCCCCTGACGTACACCTTTCCTAGTTTTTAACCTTGCAGTTTTACTTTGCTCTGTTCTGACGACTGCCTTCTGGTCCAAGTATAGGTTTCACACAAGCACAGCTAAGTGTACTGGAATTCCCATTCTTCTCAGAGCCAGCCACATAGTCAAATGCCTTTGCATGATCAATGAAACACAGATAGACATTTCTCTGATACTCTTTTCTGTCAAGATCCATCTAACATTACCTATAATATCCCTAGTACCAGTGCCTCTTCTAAACCCGGCCTGTACTCCAGGCAGTTCTCTGTTGATGTGCTATTCCAGTCATTTTTGGATAACCTTCATTCAGCATAGTCTTGCTTACATGTGATATCAATGATACTGCTTGATAATTTCTGCATTGTCTCAGGGTCACCTTTCTTTGGAATGGGAACAAATACAGATCTCTTCCACTCAGATGGCCAGGTGGTTGTCCTCCAGATTTCTTGGCACAACTTGGTGAGCACATCCTGGGTAGCATCTGTTTGTTGAAATATGTCAGTTGGTATGCCACCAATTCCCGGGGCCTTGTTTTTTGCCAATTCTTTCAAAGCAGCTTGAACTTCTTCCTTTATCACCATAGGCTCTTGCTCTTATGTTTTGTTTCATGAAATTCTTCTGTGTTTGCCAGTTCCTTTTGGTATAATGACTGTATGCTCTTTCCATCTTCTTTTAATGCTTCCTGGATCATTTACTATTCTGCCCAAAGCATCCTTAAGTATTGCAACTAAAGGTTTGAATTTGTTCTTCAGTTCTTTCAGCTTAAAAAATGCCAAGTGAGTACAGCCCCTTTGATTTTCTGACTCCAGCTCTTTGCACATTTCTGGTGCTTACTGCAGAAGGTCAAGGACTATAGCCTTCAGTATGGTTTGAAGCTCAACATCAAAAAAACAAAGATTCTCACCATAGGGCTTATTGACAGCATGATAGATGGTGAAGAGATTGAGATTGTTAACAGCTTTAGTTTATTTGGCTCCACAATCGACATTCTTGGTATCAGCAGCCAGGAAATTAAAAGATGACTTGAATTGGGAAAGTCAACTATCAGAGACCTCTCCAAAGTATTGAAGAGCTACAACATCAGTCTGGAAACTAAGATGCGCCTGATCTAGGCTATAGTCTTTGCGGTTACTTCCTATGCATCAGAAAGCTGGACAAGTACTAGAAACGATAGAATGAGAATTGATGCCTTT